GTGGAGGAGGTGACGTGTTTCCGCTTAGTGTGGAGGTGACGTGTTTCCGCTTAGTGTGGAGCTCTACACCTACAGTGTCTGCAGCCAGGCGCTCTTGGGCCTGGCTGCGACAATGCACACTTTATTTTTGTTTCCCCCGAACTGAAAAGTGCTTGGTGACACAAAAAGAGTGCTTGGTGACACTTTGCCACCGAACTCTCGCTTTCCTGAACTCGAGGAGACCCTGAATGAGAGGGGCCACTGAAAGCAGAACACAGGGGTTGACTGCCCCCAACCTCATCCTCTTTGAAGGAGGGGGTGGGTGGGGCCAAGCAGGCGGCCCGCTTCTTCTTCCCTTGGCCGGGGTGGGGCGTACGGTTCCTTGCTGCAACAGCTGCAAAGGAGTGCTTCCCCCACGGCCCTGGGTTAGCCGCCCTTGGCTGCTCAGCTGCCTGCTGTCCACCTGGAGCTGGACGCTGGACTCTGGCCCCAGCCTGCTTCCCTTTCGCTGCAAAGCTGGATCTGGCTGTCTCAGGGGGGCGAGGTAGCTGTTTGTGAGGTAGACAGAGGTTAAAAGCCTCATCCTCCTGCTTTCTGAGAGAGCTGGTTTCCCTCATTCTGTCCAGGGCTGGGCCAAAAAGACCTTTGGTGGGGTCATAGGCTGATATGCAGATAGCAATGTAACTGCATTCAGAGAACTGTGCAGCATACAGTAAGTGTACATCCTCTGGAAGGTGGATGCAGTCACGCGGTCATCTTGCTGGGCAGAGAAGTGTGGGATGAAGCAGAGATAGAGTGGCGGTTTGGGTGGAGGTGGTAGGCCACTGAAGGCTCCACCGCTGGGGGTTTGGCCAGCCCCAGCTCCTCCATCCCCTGGATTTCCAGCTTAGAGAAGCCCTTGGTGGCAAGCTTGCTCTTAAAAGGGCTGTACCAGTAGCGACTCATCTCCTTCATGCAAGCCGGAGCTGCAGGAAGGAGTTGACGTGCTGAGGGCTGCACAGGTGGGAGCCTCTGCCCATCGTACAGGTCCCTCTCTGCCCCCCCGGCATCCTGAGCTGCAGGCCAGGGTATACCCAGCATAACTGCTGCCCGCTTGCAGACCTCATACAGGTCACAGTGTGCCTGAGAACCTGTATCTGTCGTGCTAGGGGGTTGGGACTGATGGGCAGGGAAGGTGGAGTCATCCTCCTCCTCTTCCTCTATATCACCCATATCGAGGAGGTCAGAGTTGGCGTCACCCTCTGCGTCCTCGTCACCCAGTTCTCCGGCCTCTAGGGAGGGTAAACCCTCAAACAGAGGAGTCAAGTCCGGGGATTCAGTCTCCATCATATCCGCCCAGCTCGTAGAAGCTCACGGGAGATGGGTAATAGTGGCCTGGGGAGTGGCTTTGGACGGGCCCGGGGCCTGTTTGTTAGCCACGGCCACTCTCAGCCTCCGCTCACGGATTTTCTCCGGCATCGAGGTACAGTGGACAGTCTGCGGGTCCACTAGCGATGCCTGAGCATGACTAGCATCCATGCACACTATGCAAAGAGGGTGGTGTAGGAATTATTAGCTCAGGTAAATTTTAATATCTCCACCAATATGTTTGAATTAATTAAAGTTTAATTAATTATTATTTAATGCTGATTATTAACCAATTGTTATGCCGAATGGTCGGCTCCTCCAAACTCGATTGANAAACTGACCACTATATTCCAACAATAACTCATTCTAATGCAAAATGTGGTTTAGAGATATTTTTGGTCATGTCGCTCACAGAAGCCCTTAATCCAGCTCTCTTACTTAAACCAGGGCCAGGAAACAAACATCGGTGTGTTTCTCTGCCATGGAGCACGAAAAAAAAAAACAAGTTTAAAAATGACCTTCGTTTTAAATATTTCATGTTGATCCGCATACAAAGTGCCAACATGATCGGTTTAAGCAGACTAGTTGATTACTAGAATTACTAAATTACTAACAGCACATTTGTATATGAATGACTCTGTACCAACCTTTACGATCCACTTGCGCGGTTTCCACTGAATCTTTGCAGATCACGTGTTTCCGCCTACTGTGGAGGAGTGACGTGTTTCCGCTTAGTGTGGAGGTCACGTGTTTCCGCTTAGTGTGGAGGTCACGTGTTTCCGCTTAGTGTGGAGCTCCACACCCACAGTCTGCAGCTAGCCGCTCTTGCATCTCCTTGTCGTAGTCGGAAGTTACATTTTCTTTTTTCTTTTTTTAATGCTTTATTATGAACTTCAAACATGTGATACAGCAGAATAGATCAGCACACAATAATAACAGTAATAATAACTTTCAGAAGTAAAAGGAAACAGCAAAGAAACAAAATAAATAAA